CCGTAAAGCCAGAGAATCTTGGGTCAGTCTTTGAGCAGTTGAGTGACTAGTTTAGGAGACCCAGCGCTGACTGAGAGCTGCTAGCAGTTGAGTATTATTAAGTGAAGTGGAGTGTGTCCGAAAGGCAGCGTGCTAATGGGAGTGTGTTCTTTGCTATAAAGAGGGCGTCTGCACTATTGATCCTGCTTTACAGAGCTGTTGAGCTGTGTGAAGCGGTCCTGACAGCACCCGTCCGCCCTCACTCTCAACCTCCTGGCCCCTCCCCGTCAGAGACCCTGTTCTCTCTCTCTCTTTCCTTTCTGGGCGTGTGAAAGAGGGCCATTGTGTGAGGCACACTCCTGCCCTCAGGCCGCCCACTACCGATCCTGTTTCCCCCTGCTCCTCTTGCTCGCTGCTGCCACCAGATTCAGACCAGATGCAGACTCAACCCCGTGCTGGCTGTCATCAGTCGCCCTCCTGGGTCAGAGGGGAGTGGAGTGTAGCTGCCACCTCTGCGCTGGGCTGTTGCCGGCAACGTCTGCTGCACAGCACCCACGTCTCCCCTCCACGTCTTTCCCCAGAGGAGATGGAAAGTCTGTGGGATCCGGACCAGGCGAGCATGGAGGCTGAAGAAAACAGAGGAGGTTTGGGAGGGGAGTTGATTACCCACAAGGCGAAAAGACAGGAGAGGAAGCGTCAGGAGCTGCTGGCTTTGGCTCTGGGAGTCAAACTGGGGAGCAAGGGAACACTTTTGTGGAAGCCTATAAAACTGTTGGCCTCCTGTCCACAGATCTCCTCACCCCTGGTGCGACGGAGTGCCTTGAAAGACACACCAGAGAAGCAGTGCTCCTATGAGAAGATACACAATTTCAAGGTGAGCAGGTTTTTGTTAAAAAAAAGTATGATGACAACTTCATTTTTATTCCCTCCTAAAGAATTAATACATTTTCAGTAGTTCTTTATTAGTAGTTTTTTTTCAGAGAGATGCATTCATTGTGTTTTTTTTTGCCTCAGATGTCTGCTTGTCCCATTATAGACCATAGTGTGTGTGTGGGTGTGTTGTTTTGATGAGAACACATACAGCTGACACCCATATGCACTGAGGGGAACTAATGGATACACTATACCACATCCCATTAGCAGCTGAGCACATTGATTGGTATTGATTTTTAAGCTCTTAGATCAATTTCTGTTTTAACATGCTGATTTTGTAAAAGCAGTTATAGAGTTGAAAAGTATTGTAGGGTCCTCTGCTTTCAGTGACTGTCGGTGCATAGTACATTGTGGAAAGGAGAACTGAGTTATGGTTCTTTAAATATACAAAGGAGAATTTAGGGATACTTTGCCTCTGGGCTCCTCAACATTCTTGCAATTGTATCTTGGGTTTCAGTTAACAGGCAGCTTATAATGACCCCCAGCTTTTTGTACACTCCCCTTTGAAAAAGAACAAAAACCATCCACTCACCGCCCTGCCATATGCCCTCTTCACTCATCAGTCTACTACCTATTCAAAAGGTGTGTGTGTGTGTGTGTGTGTGTGTGCACGTGCATGCACATGCAGGTGTGGCTCCATTTGCCATCTTATATCTGTGTTTTTAGGGTGCATAGTAGGTGTACATCTGTTATTTTGACTTACAGGCTTGCCTGCATGTATCCGATTGCCCAGAAGCAGATGCCAGACACATTATAGTAAATCCTTTAATCTGCCTTCTATACACAAATGCTCTCATTTGGCGAGGGGTCCCATCCACTGTAGCTTGGGATCACAAAAGTAATCTCTGTCCAGTACATCAAAGAGGAGGTTCTCCAGTTTGTACCGCACATAGTAATGACTCTCAATATGTGTGTGTGTATAACCATGTCATCTCCAACCACAGGTACACACCTTTCGAGGGCCGCACTGGTGCGAGTACTGTGCCAACTTCATGTGGGGCCTCATTGCCCAAGGTGTCCGCTGCTCAGGTAACTATACACTCAAACATCAATATTGCATGTCATGGATTACACATAGAATGTCACATAAGACATGGATTACACAAGTAGTGTATGATCTGCAGATAACACTGTCCTGTCACGGATGTTTCAGTTGCATAATGCATCTGAATTTCCCCTTTTAATAGGTGGTTCGATTATGTCACGTTTTATGGTTATTTTCCTGTTATATCTGTGACAAACAAGTTGACATCCTGAGGTCAGCGATTTATCAAAACATTCTTCAGAAAAACCCAGTGAGGCATAGACACTTTTATATAATCACAGCTATCAGTCTTCCCCTCAAGAATATTTAATTACAGTCATACCAAAATGAAAGGCAACTAGATGTTTTTACACGCTATTTTCTAATTCTCTTATAACTGGTTACGGTGTAAAGAAATGCCATGTGATGCAGTATGCTGACAGCCCTTACATCCAAATGAAAGTTATATTTTTCTGTCAACAAAAATCAAATCAAGTGAAATATGTAAATGGTGATAAAATTCAGGTCAGACACAGGTCAAATGTCATTGTTGTCCAAATATAGCAGAACTAAGTGATTGATTGTGTATTAGAGTTCAGTGGGGTTTTCAGGGCCTCCATGGTCACAAGATCAGACAGTCCTGGAACTGATGTGCATATCAGTGCTCTTGGTTGCTTTCTCCCCAAACAGAGTGTTTGTTGTTGAGACATTTGCCATGCTGATAAGCCAGAGGCAAACACTGGTATCATCAGACACCTCATGTGCTGTGGGAAACAGGAGAGACTTCTTTGTCCCTTCTCTCTCCGTGTCTAGCCTCTTTTTTTTCCACTATTTTTTCTTCTTATCTCCTGCTCCACTGTCTCTGTGAGCACTGACTGAGAGCGAGGACCTCAATTCACAGACCAGCGTTAATGCCGCTCAGGCGGTAAAAACGTCTTTGTGATGAACGATTTCAGTCTGACATCCCTATCCACAAGTACTCCTTCAAAAACCTTCATTCCAAACTGCGCCGCCACACAAGCAGGCATATTCCTCACACACACACACACTGTGCTCTTGCCGGCTGTCCAGCACACTCCATGTGACTAAAACTACAACAAGAACCCCCGCCCATGATACCATGGTTGCTGTTATCTACCTTTGGCGCAGTGCACCGAGACAGCTTAGCAGCAGCTGTGCTGTCTGACAGTGCAGTTTATCACTGACTCTGGGAAACCTTTTCAAACTGCTGTCTTAAGCCTGCTGTGATGGTTGTGTTATCATCAGTCTGAGACTAATCTCTCTCTGTCTATCTCCCTTTCGCTCTTCTAGATTGTGGGCTGAATGTACACAAACAGTGCTCCAAACTGGTTCCCAGCGACTGCCAGCCGGACCTGCGCAGGATAAAGAAAGTGTTTAGCTGTGACCTCACCACGCTTGTCAAAGCTCATAACACAACAAGACCCATGGTGGTGGACATGTGCATTCAGGAGATAGAGCTGAGAGGTAGAATCACAAACTCAAACATTCAATTTGTTTGCCATTACTAGTTTGCAGTGATTAGAAATTATCCTTTTATTATAATAGATACCTCAGAGGAACAAAAGCCCCCAAAAAACTGAGAAAAGCGTCCTGATTTTCTCTTGCAGGTATGAAATCTGAAGGTCTGTACCGAGTGTCTGGCTTCTCAGAGCACATAGAAGACGTGAGGCTCGCCTTTGACCGAGGTTTGTTGACATCATCAGATTTGAGGTTTTAGTTCACAGGTTCACAATTTTAAATAAGAAGCTTGTGTCAGCTGAAGCACAAACTAGTATGGTCTTTTTTGTGACGTACACATAAACATGCAGCTCTTATTTATAATTGTATCCAAATATGGAATTGCATGTGTTTTTTTATCAACAGATGGTGAAAAGGCTGACATCAGTGCCAGTGCCTATGCAGACATCAACATCATTGCTGGTGCTTTGAAGCTCTACTTAAGAGACCTTCCCATTCCAGTCATTACGTTTGACTTGTACTCCAAATTTATTCAAGCTGCAAGTAAGAGCTCCTCCACTCTGGGCTATTCCACGCCATTACTGTGTTACTGGTACCCTGTAGCGCTCTGATACTAATCATATTACTAATGTAATGTAGAAATTCCAAATGCTGAATCCAGACTGGAGGCCATCCATGAGAGTTTGCTGCAGCTTCCCCCAGCCCACTACGAGACCCTACGTTACCTGATGGCTCACCTCAAGAGGTTGGTTCATATAAACAAGTCATCAATACAAGGACATGTAGTGTTTTCATTTCTTTTATTTAAAGGGTAAGGCAGGTAATTTGCTACAAATCCCTTGAGAAGACCAAAACCAACAATGTATTGATCCTACTAACAAGCAGTGCAGCTAGGTCCTCTAACGTTACTCTCTGTGCCATAGAGCTCTATTGTGGTCCAAAAGGTGTTTATCTGTCTATCTGTCTATCTATCTATCTATCTATCTAATCGCACATACTGCCATAAATACTTAATAGAGTACCGCCTGTGTATTAATCCGCAGTTGAAAATAGTCCTCAGAAAATTAATAATTTACTCCTGCTTGAATAATGTAAACCCAGCTTTTTTAGGAAATGTAGCCTATTTAAAAAAAAAGGTTTTTACCTGTTACTAAATATGTGTACAGAGGTTTAAAAAGTAGTGGTAGATGGACAATAGCGTTATTGGTTTTGGTCTGTTCATGGGATTTTTTTGACCGTAGAAAATTGTAGAATAATTCCATCCTTATCCTTAAATTTAATATTCCAGTGGTGAATCCCCTCATGACCCAAAAGAGCTGTTTTTGTATTTTATTTAAAGAGAAGTTATGTTTTTGTGTTTTGCAGGGTGACACTGTTCGAGAAGGACAATTTAATGAATTCAGAGAACCTCGGGATTGTCTTTGGTCCGACACTAATGCAGCCACCGGAGCTGAATGCCTTGACAACCCTGAATGACATGAGGCAGCAGAAACTAGTGGTGCAGCTTATGATAGAGCATGAAGATGTCTTATTCTAAGGACTGAGGCATGCAGGCCTTACAACGGAAACGAAGGACAATTATTTATTCTGTCAAAGAGGAAATTCAAGCCAACTTGATTCTAATGAAGTTTCAGAATAGTTTGAAACGCTTCTTTCTTGCATGACTGTTTTAGTTGAAGTTGGTTTAGTGTTGACATTGTCTTGTTACTGTAAGTTTTGGGTTTTCATAGTCAGCCAAGACCATCATTTTTATGTTAGGAAAGGATCCAGTATTTTAACTGCCTACAGTGCTGTTCCCTTCTCTCTTTAATTTGAAGACTGTCACTACCTGGTGTAGGCTCAGTCATGATGACAGCACTGTGTGAAACCTGCCACAGGCAGATCGTCAATCAGTGAAAGCCTGGTGCTGTGTTAACCAAGCCTCACGGCAGCAACCTAGTTTACTTTCCCACATGACGTGTGCATATTGTGATTTTAGTGGGAACACTGGTTAAAATTTAATTGTAGATAAAAATCTGATCATGTAATGATCAATATTTTAACTGTGTGTACTTAAATATGAGAGATGAGACAATTGGACGCTCATGAAGCACTTTTTTGCAAAGTGTAAAGATTTATTTTGTAAAGATGTTTATTTTTGTCTTTTACTCTGCATCATGTTCTTTTGTCACAATAATCTATACTGTTGAGAATGATGTTTGTTGAATTGATGTCTAAATACAAAACTGTTCACAAGAGAAAAGAAGAATCAAAAGAGTGACAGTTTGTGGATTTACCATTTTCATTTGTAGTGTAGTCAGTGTTATGGTGAGGATTACATGTGGATAAATTTTGGTCATTTGAATTCATATGCCATATTGCAGACTGTGCACCACATGAGCAAAGCTTCTTTGCACACATGTCCGTTGCCAGTTTTGTAGTATTTCTGTTTACATGCTGTAATTTGGGATATTTCCATGTGAAAAATATTACCTGGGCCCTTTTTTTTCTCTTTTTGTATTCCAGTAACATTGCTCGGTGCAGCAGTAGTTGCCATTCACTTCACAATGCCATAAAAGTTAATAGTCATACTATAGCTGTACCCAGCGTGTTACTTTCACAGTTTGTTTGATTCGATTAAGTAAATCCTTTCTACAAATCCATTTTATTAAAAATGTATTTTTGTGACGGTTGCAATTAAAAATGTAATTTATCAAATGATGACTTATTAAAGGTTTAAAATAGTGTGAGCTGTTTATCATAAGGTTAATCTCCATTTAACATAATGTTACCACAGTATAATAACTGAAGTTCAGTTCGAAGAAAGGCCCAGCCCTATGATAGTGAATCACAGGTATGTGGTTAACAACTTTTATTTACCTTGTGACAGCTACTGCAGTATCCTTGCCAAGTATTTTACCCAGAGGGCCTTATCACATTATCAATTGCTGTCTCACTGTATAACCTTCCCACTCATCCAGTTTTACCTGTAGGTGTGGTCAGCAGGGTGGAATTTTGTTAGATACCATATATGAACTTGAGTGGTAAACAAAGACTGGTGCTTTTTTCTGAGGAAAGACATAGTTGTGTTTGTGTTTCATAAAAATACCACTGGTGCATGGCAGCCTTCATCAGAATGTAATTTAAGCAGGAAAAGATTGCGAAAACCTAAGATAATAAGCTACCAACAAAATTGAAATGCACACCTGCCATATCCATCTACAGTGTTACTCATACACCACTATGCAATCAAACAATTGTGGTATTATTGTGGTATGTCTTATAACACTTTTAGCATACGATGCTGACATATGCTTGTTTGAAGCCTTTACTGTTTCATCTCAACTGCATCATGAATTTTAGATATTTCTTGGGGGTGACCCTTATATTCTAAAATCTCATGAGTTTTCATTTGGATGGTTAGAAGAAAAGAACAGACTGAGAGCACTGACAGCTATCAGACATCTCAAAGGCTTCTTTAATCTTTAAAACATTGTTCTTCCTGTTGATGCTGCATAGCTGTGAACTGCTGCCTACTGACAGATCAATGTGCCACAGGTTACTTCTGCTCACAATGTATGTGACATATATAACCTGTGATGATCTATATTATAGATTGCTGTCTTATGTATTTTGCTATAATCACAGAAGATTTACAAAAGTTACAATAATGAGAACCAATTAAGTAATAAATGATCCAACCTTTAGTCACTTCTGATTAAACACACAGGAAGCTGGCTATGTGGACTCACATGATGTTTGACGTACAATGACTGTAATTTATCAGAGCTATGACTGACGGGTCACTTGATGATGTCAGATGAAGGTTTTTCCCTTGTTGTTTGTTCCCTCAGGGTTCAAAAGGACAATTTTGCATACTGTTTAAGGCCCCATTTCTGTTTAGAAAATGTACATTTGGATAACACTGAGGAAATATAATGGCTCACTACAGTTATATATGAACTGAAACCATATGAACAGAAATTCAATGTTATTCGTTTAAGGTCTAACAGAATTTAAAGTATGACTGAAATCATAAGCCAACTGCATATTATTTCATGATTCACTCCTGATGAAATGTTATATGTCACATCATTTTGATGTTTGGTTTGCCAGACACAGTACACAATCTAGAAACTAACAGAGAAGGACACATGACAGATTTGATTAAGATTTGTAGGTATGATACAATCGTCTAGGACAAGAGTGCCCTCTAGTGATGAATGAGGACATGCACAGTAAAAAGTTTTTTGTATGCACAGATTCAGTTTTCAGCACATGTACTGTAAATATAAGAAACATTAATTAACATAGTTCTTTTCTGTTTACTTTTAAAACATATTTATTTTATGAAATACATTTTTAAAAATCCAATACGCCTAATTACATCTGTGGTGACATTATCAGTGCATGAAGGATGGAGATATAAATAAATTATGGATTTCATTTTCCATAAAATGATGCAAAATGATTCGACCAAAAATAAGACAATACTGTTCAAAAGGAGTGTTTCTCATTTCATATCACTTTTGAGGAGGAGATTTATGGAAAAAACACTGTGGTAGTATCAAAAACGTACAAATCAGTCCTTTAGAGCTCATCGTGTTGGTAGGTGAATTCTCTTGAAGATATGAAACCATCTTTATCTTCATCCTCATTTTTGAAGATGTCATCTACCATCACTTCATGATGTGTGTCATTAGGGGAGTATCCATGTTTCTCAAATTCTTTCTTCAAGTACTCTTTCACCTGTAACAGACAGAATAATAACAACATTCACCAATGGCAATAAAATATACTACACTCTTATTAAAAGCAGTTTAAAAGAATGGCACACCTCCTGTCTGGAGAGCTTCCAGTCATCATTGAGATCCATCTCCCTGAAAGACTCATGTGACCTGGGACCATTTTGGATGTCCATGAGCTCAATATCAAAAATGAGGGTACTGCCTGGAGGAATCTTGCCTGTAAACAAACAAAAACGTCCATGTAAAAGAAGCAGATAGGAACAAAGGGAGATTGAATGCAACAGACCCTGGCTTTTTTTTTAATAACTGTTACCTTTTCCTTCCTTGCCATATGCCAGAGATGGAGGGATGGTCAGTTTCCTGCGCTCTCCTGTGCACATGTTCTGCAGACCCTTATCCCAACCCTTGAGCGCCTCCCGGATCCCAAGAGTGAACCATACTGGTTTTCTATCCCCATCTTTGCGGCTGCCAAGAGTTACAAAGATCCATCACAGTTTTCTTTGAGAAAGAAGAGTCCAGTACACACAGAATTGATATATCACAAATATGTACAATAAGGGTGGAATAGTTGCCACCTGAGGACAGGCCAGTGGTTAATGTTAACAGAATAGACAATGGCTCAGATAGTCTACTTTCAAGTGGTGGGTGCAGCATAGTATAGTCCATTACATATGTATAATGATGTTTACAGCAGTGACCACAATGGCACTTGTCCCTAACAAGGAGTGGTATTGCACAGAAACACATGCAGCAATATTACAGTTTCTAGAAACAAATTACCTGGAATGAAACATGGTGCCATTACTCTCCAGGAATCCTTCGTAATGAACAAGAAGCATGTCTCCAGATTTTGACTTACGGTAACACATGAAGGGTTTATGGATAACTTCAATTTTCACCTCTGGCTCGGGAAGTTTGCCCCCAGTGACAAACACAAACAGTGAGGGCAATATCGAACAAATAGACAAAAGAATCATTTTGATAGACACTAGGTTACTTACTCACAAAATGTACAAAAAGCTTTTTTTAAACCCTTCCATAAAACACAGTACCTAAAATACATACATGGCAGGAATGCCAACTACGTGGCAGCCAACTTCTGCAAAGAACGCAGCCACTGTTCAGCTGTCTGCCTTCCTCCCTCTCTAATTGGATGAATTCATTTCGAAGCCCCGCCCTCTACACATTTACTCTTATTTCATTGGTTCTTCTTAGTGCCAATCACCACACTCAACGCCCACACTACTTAAACTTAAACCCCTCTGATGTAAATGGGAGGGACGTCGTCTGCTTCTCTCGTGACGGCTTAGAGCTCCATTCAGAAAAAAGTTTACGCACTTTTATCTACGTAGGTGAGCTGTAAAGCCGAGGACGTTACTCCACGAATCACACTCGGGGCCCGATGGAGTCGCTGGAATCAGCTGTGCATCATATCTTGTTATGATAAACAAGTAATGAACGGCAAAAACACACAACTAAACAATGGAAGGGATGTTGTATAAATGGACCAATTACATAAGTGGTAAGTTTAACCCCACAGTCGCTGGGTGTTTTCGCGTGTAACTCTCGTTTTTAACGCAGCTAGCTAGCATGACAGCGTCATAGCGTACTTGTGTAGAGTTATAACGTTAACAGGGCAAGCAGCTAACGCTAGCTACCGACAGCTTTCAACTATCAGAGTTTATGCACCACTTTAGATTAACAAAGGCTCCCTTTGACTTTACTCATTTGGATCCAAATTAGAAGTTAACCTTATTTATGAAGTCGTAACAGGCGGTGCTGGCTAACGTTAGTTCACGCAATCTCTCATTGTAATCTGATTTATCAACTGCTTAGCTGTGGCTAACATACAGTTCAGGTTAACTCTTTCCGAGTTGTGAGGCTTAGATAACACGGTTTTATATTGACTTCTACTTAGTGATCTGCAGTATTGAAAAATTGAATTCTCATACTCACAGGAAATATCTCAAAAGTTGAAATGCATTCTCTTTCAGGTTGGCAACCTCGCTGGTTTGTGCTTGATGGAGGAACTTTATCGTACTACGACTCTCAAGAAGATGCCTGGAAAGGTTGCAAGGGCAGCATTAAAATTTCAGTTTGTGAAATCCAAGGTCGGTGTGGCTCACCATTTCCTGTGTACCGTGTCTCATTGTGTGAGTGATTAGCCCTCTGTTGCCTTACGGATGAAGTTCTGAAAACCATGTCTCCTTGTTTACTGCTGTGTTTTATTAGTTCATTCCTCCGACTCTACACGAGTTGACCTGACCATACCAGGAGAGCAGTACTTTTACCTCAGAGCCATCAATGCAGCAGAGAGGCAGAAATGGCTGGTGGCCCTTGGAACAGCCAAAGCTTGCCTTACAGACAACCGAACAAAGAGAGAAAAAGGTATTCGGACGCGATAACATCCAAATCTGACATGGATTTAACTTGCTCGTATCCTATTGTAAAGTATTGTAATCATTTGAGTCATTTGCTGTCTTTCAGAGCTCCAGGAGAATACAGAGGCACTGAAAACTAAGATGTCAGAACTCAGATTGTACTGTGACCTTCTTCTACAACAAGTAAACAAGATCAAGGAGAATGATGAGCCAGGAGACTCAGCGGAGGTAAGGTTAAGGTTTAGATGAGCCCATGAAATAAGAGAAGCTGCTGTTGGTGTGAAACTGCAGTGTAAAGGAGAAGAAACTGATGTGTGCTTACACTTACTAATAGACTAGACAAGCAGCGGATATGATCAGTTATTTAAAATCTTAGCTTTATAGATTCGAGCAGGTTTTTCCAAACATACATGACACATGACGTTGGGATCCGTGGCAGTGTTGGCTAATGTGTATGTTTGTGCGTCCATTTTCAGACAGGCATAGACACTGGAAACATGGTGAAGTCTACATGCACCACTTTCCTGAAGACTCTAGAGGAATGCATGCAGATAGCAAATCGTACTTTTAGTACAGATATGGCAACGCAGAGTCCACCGGGATCTCCTCCAGTAGCAGCCATCAAACCTCAGAAGGTGTGTCACCACTCTTGTGCCTAATAACATCTAGGATAAACAGTATGACTTGTTCCCAGTACATACATATTAAATCCTAATGTTGTTTTTCTCAAGCAGATTAAACCCATCAATCATTTAAATCAAAACCTTGGAGAAAAGTAGGTTGCTTTTTTTTCTCTTTATGTATTTATGTTACCTACACTGCTTCTATCATTGACTGCCACATAGATGTTCAAAGCACCACTCACTGTTTTTTCTGTCGATTCAATAATTGTTATGTCATTAATTCTGCATTTCTCTGGCACTAAACATTATTGTGAATAACATTTGCTCAAAAGAAGTGTATCCCAAGTTTTAGAATGAATATAATCCACTCTAATTAATTCCAGATGGAGAGATTTGGTTGAAACCTCAGGAGAAGCAATTGCATATGACAACCAGAGCCTTGACTCTGGAGCAGAGGGACCAGATGAGCCAGATAGACCAGAACACCATTCTTCTTCCCCATCAGGTAAGTCAGGTCTCCCTACCACTCACTTTACGAGCTGCAGAGTTCCCTGAACTGACAACCATTACTGCATACCATAAAGGAACGGCCACACAGAGCAAAGAGGGCCTGGTTGTTGTGTGCACTTCATCTGAACTGATGTGGATAGATTATTTCCTTTTAGTGAGCAGACATTGATGGATGCCCAGTTACATTATTGCATTTCCCTTAACAATACAAAGGGGAAGCTACTGCCGGTGATGGAAAATAAGACCAGTCTTTTTCAATTTATTGTTTTGGGTTATCCATAAAACATATACTATCTCACTGTAAGATGCATTAAAATGTATAATTTAAGACATAATAAAAGAAGGGAAGGGGAATTGCTATAACCAAAATATAATACTATAATACCAAAAACCTTTAAAAGTAATACAGTACATAAAAGACACTGTTCTTTTTGGTACATAGTTTACATCATGTTACATTAGAATATATTAAATACTTTGGTTCAGACTCAACAGCCTTTAGTGATGCAGTAGTGCCAGGGAACACTGTAAAAAAATAGAAAATGTAGACACATTATTCTAGCACAAACTGTTAAATATAAAAATATATTTTAAAAAGTCTCGACCTGACAGGCGATATGAAAGAGTTAAAGATTGTTGGATTGTGATTAAGATCTTAATCTTTCCTGTATGAGGCAAAAATCCAAACTAAAACAAAAAGAAGGTAATTAAAAACATTTGCGTAACTAAACCCAGGCTGCAAATCTTTTGGTGCTGCCAACGTGCTCTGTGGTCGCCCTGTGCAGGGCAGCATTTCACAGAGCACAACAATAAATCCCAGTTGGGTGAGGTCACAACTGAAACCAAATTACACCTGACCACACCCAACTGCGATGTTGAGTATGGGTTAAAATGTTCAACCCATAGAGGTCAGCGCAGCAGTAATTCAGCTCAGTAGAAGATGTAGTGCCGCTCTTTAATTTTGTCGTATAATTTTACTGAAACTCTAAATGAAGGATGAGCAGGAGGTTTCCGTCAGTGCGCCCTGCCAGTGGTTAAAGAGAATGAGTCTACACGATACTTGTGCAAGTCAGATCTGCTTTCACAATTTTCTACACCCAGTCTGATGAAAACTGGGCTTCAGACCTGCTGCAACACACATCTTGATCTAGTTTTCAAGCCTTTTCTCTGGTAACATACATTGACACGTCTTCTGCTTTCCTACTCTATCATACAGACATTGATGCAGCCAACGGTAACAGTTCAGTCCACGAGGAGCCAGTCGAACCTTCTTTACACACTACCCAGAATACCTCTGAGATTGAACACTACGACCAACCAGCAGAGGGGGATGAGGAAAATGAAGCCGGTGATCAAAAGGAGGCAAAACAAGAGCAGAAGCACAAACTGGACCAAAGTCAAGAGCATGACAACAACAACAAGGAAGTGAAAGCTGTTGACCAGCCTCAGCACCAACAGGAAGCTGTTCCAGACCAGGAAGAGGCTCAGCACGAAGGCGAGACTTTCAGAGATTCAACGGAGCCAGAAGACACAGAGCAGGTGGAAACTTTCTTCAGCACAATGAGTCACAGGTATGAAAATGCTACTCAGGAAGGTCACATCCTTTAGGACACACGAGTTACTGTATGAAGTTACTGTATGATCATCTGTGATATTTCACTATGACAGTATTAGGATTAACCAATCTAAGCTATATGTAGTATTTTTGTCTTTGAGGCACTGCACCTCTGCTGCACAGTTCCTTAGTTAATGGAAATATATTAATTGCATTACTGTGTTGCACAGAATAATTCTATAATAACGGGTTTGGAGACGTTTTGCTGAATCCATTTCAAGATGTCATGATAAGTGTTTTATATTAGTGTGTTCTCTCTTGATCACATGACACAGAGAGGCCCTCATCTGATATTTGGGTTTGTAAAGCTTTTTTGTTTCACTCTGTATTTCAAACGTATTTTACTTTCTTCTTTTAAGACCTTGAAGAGTGTTACTGAACAATGGAGTGTTCATAATCACTTCTGTAATATTCAGTTATGATGTAAACGTTATTATAATGGAGTAAATCACTGTCTCACTCAACCAGTATTCAACTGCAAGATGGGGACTACAGTATGCGCATTTTGGAGTTGGTCTTTTAGAACTGATGGGACGTTTTAGAGCATTAACGTTAAACTAAACTAAACTAAAACAGTTCTGTTAAGTTGTAGATAAAGTAGCAGAATAGTCTCAGGTATTGTCAGGCATAGATTTGCATGACACTGTGAATCATTTCTCTTGCTTGGTTTTGTCCTTTGTACCCTTTTCTTTTCTTTTTATGTTTGATTTGATCAAATAAAAATTGAAATGGCGTACTTACCTCTAATACATTCTCCTGTTTGAATCTGTTCTACTTTTTTTAGATTTAGTGATATAAGACTGGACGACGACAATGGTATCCCTACTCAAGAGTTTTTGGAATCATGCTATGCAATAGTGCCTGTATTAGGTAGGCCGGTCACTTTCAGTCTCTCCTCTCAATCTGCCTCTCTGTTCTTCCTTTTTTATGATGCCACATACAGTATGTGGTCTTTTCACCCTTTATATCTTTTCTAAGGTAAACTTTATTTTTCTTCTCATTTGTGCATGCTGTGTCATTCACATTGTCTGTGCTTAATACGGTGGAAGCTTTCTGTCCTGGATTCATCATCATCCTTTTCTTTCATGCCCTTATTATTTCCTTCTGCACCTTTTTGTCTGTGGTTTTATTTATTCTTTGTAGTCTATTGTGTAACAGAATTATATTGTCTCTGTGTACTACACATCTACATTGATAGGCAGTTGACAAAAAAAAATAAAACAGAACATAAAGCAATACAACAAGATGCCCTTTAAAATTAAAATCTTTGTGAATCTCTATTAATGACTGTAAGCGTATGTGATAAAATGTGATAATAGTGATCCACCGTGCCTTAAATGTTTTCAGCCCAAATTGATGACATCTCTCCCATTAGATCTTGACACAGATCCAGACACGCTCAGGATTTTAGGTCTTCTAGTGTGTCACAATTCTTCATTATTTTCCCCTCAAATCAGTAGTCAGACGGTGATTTTCACACCGAGAGTCTGCCCTCTCTATAATTGCTTCAAAAAACAAAGCATTTGAATTGTTCAGCACTGACTATTAACAGCAACTACATCATAAAGTCTTTAAAAAATAGGTTACACTGAGAATCTTTTCTTCACAAGGAGCAAAGAAATGATCATGGATTTTCTCTTCTCAGACAAGCTGGGATCCACAGTGTTTGCACCAGTTAAAATGGATTTTGTTGGAAATATCAAGGTACGTGTACATGTTATTGATCTGTAGTCTTTATACATATTTAACCGAATTACAAAGAAATGATCACATAACTGTTCTTAAAGGAGTCTCTTCACACAGTGAAACTGTTAAGAGGATAAATCAACCTCAGTATTTTACGATCTAATACATAATGATCACAAGAAGACATTTGCTGTGCACAATACTGCTTGACTCTTGGTGGTGCTTCTTGTTTAGCTTGAAAATCAGACACTTGACTCATCACTCCTCTTTTTCTTGTTCTGTCAATGTACATGAGATCAAATGACTCACTGAGCTGTTAAAATTTATTACTTATAGTTTTGTTTCACTATTTGTTAAAAAATGTAGAGCAGAAGAATACAATCTGGATCTCTTCACTATATCACACTGTCTCTTAACCCTGTAGAAGATTCACCAGAAGTTGATGTCAGACGCCGACAGCTTCCCCACACTACAGTCCATTGTGCTGTACGAAATCCAGACAGACGTTGCCCGAGTGCGCAACTCGGCCACAGAGGCTCTGCTGTGGCTCAGACGAGGGCTGAAGTTCCTCAAGGAGTTCCTGTCAGAGGTCAATGCAGGACAGCAAGACATCCAGGGAGCATTAAGTGAGTCTGATTTCTAACGTGCGCCGTCGGCAGTCTGCAAAAGAAAGTTCAAATACACAGAACTTAAAAGCATGGTCACTGTTGAGATTCGTCACGTTCTGTCTATTCCTTCACCCAGATAATGCCTACGGAAAGACCCTTCGGCAGTACCACGGCTGGGTCGTGCGAGGCGTATTCGCTGTAGGTATTTCTTACCCTCACCGATGCTTTTCCCCTTTTAGGTCCATCTGTTCTTGGAGTGTGACTTCTGTATGCTCCTATTTCCCCAGCTGGCGTTGAGAGCTGCCCCCTCTTATCAAAGTTTCAGCGCTGCCTTAGTGACGAGAGAGGGCGATGAGCTGCAGAGCGGCTTCACCAGCAGCATGCACAGAGACCTGGGAGTGTACCTGCCTGCCATGGAGAATCAGCTGGCCATCCTAGATGCCCTGTATGAAGAAAACAACCTAGAGTCGGATGAAGTGGTGTGAAAACCCGAACAGAGAGATGATCCGAGTTCAAGGAAAGACAGAACCTGACGGCAGGGGCAGAGTAGTGGCTGACTGCTGGAGAAAGGTGCCAGATGCATCAGGCGCATCTCGTGTGCAAAATAGTGTGAGCATGTCCCGTGTCAGTGTAAGGTGTTTCCAGTGGTTGTTAAACTCTACGACAATAGAGGTATGGTAGGTTTGAAGGAGGTATTAATGTCTGTATTTAGGAGCCCACAAGGGGCAAAGTAAGAATTAATAGTTAAGACATTATGGCTTGACAAAGTGTAGTTTCTGGGTCTTGTTTAAAAGACCCCTGACAGTGTAGGGGTTTTAAGCCCTATTATGCAGACTCCAACCATAATGATTCATGGTGATATTTGTTTCTGGTGCACATTTTGTCGCAGTATAGTGGCTTTTAAGGTACATGACCACAGAGTATTTGGCTCTAGTAACTTCCCTGGAAGATAATTAGTGCTTGAACTGATCAAAATGCAAAGACATTTTTAATCCGGATTGTTCTGTTTCCTTGGATCCATGAAACAGGGCGATACTTGTAACTAACACAAAGCGCTATTTAACACACAAAAAAAAAGTCATATTGTTACAATACCCAATATATGCCTTAAGTATGTGATGGAATTGCATACTGGGCTAACTAACATGTTTTCTTGCACTGACAGTTGAAGTTTAGTTAATTATGTTTCTTTCCCTGAAATTTTAATATAAATCCTGCAGGTTGACAATGTTTGTTGGTTTTACTTCACTAACATGTTATGAGCTATTGCTCTAGAGACTTAACCATGGGACCAAAAAGGAACTGTCATGTGAATGGCTTTAGCCTCTGCTGCCTACAGTACAACAACACACAAGAATGAAATAGTACAGTGTAGCTGTTAAAATACTGACAACTGCTGAATATTTATGTGGACTTCCTCTGCACAAACCTATGCATAGTATGTATTTTCATATATTTATTATGTCTTAAGTTATAAAGTTCACAATAATGTCATGGGGATCATTTGAGTCCAGCTTTTTGTGTGAATGAATGGACATTTGTATCCATAGAGCATGTTTATTGATTGCATGGTTTTTTGTAATAAGTAACATAGGTGCCAATGGAAACTCTAAATATTATTAACCAAGTTAATAAATAATCCTAAAGGGGATAGATTGTGAAAGTTAAATTACATAGCTTCAACTTCTCCATACTGATAATGAACAGTAACCTTCAGCAAACCTTCTCTACGGATTTCAGCATTTTTTCACCATCTTGTCTGTGCAATGTTCTAAATATACTTGAGTGTTGTTAACATCTGTACCTAATATTTGATTATGTTGATTCAGCAATGAGTGGTAAGACGGCTCCACCTCCCAGCCAGGTTAGGGTTTGCCCATAGATTGACTGAGCCATTCGAACCGAGCAGGAACATCCTCATAGGGCTTTTTTACCAAGACATACCACATAGTATTTTTAACTTTATTCTAACTTTTCTTCTGAGTTTTCAGGAATACATACGGTAATATTTCTTCGAGTAGGTCATTTGCGGCAGGTTTACATCACATATGTGCAACAGGTTGATTTCCTGTTGTAGATCAATTCCAATGTTAATCCTGAAAATTTGCTATTGTAATATTACAAACATTTGATTTGGTTTTTCTATGATTGTATATAAGAAGCTTCTTGATTTTTACATAATAAATAATTAAGTTGTCCCAGTGTGTGTCCAGTTCTGTAGTAGTCAAATATGTGTTTTTTGTATTTGGTATCAGACAGGAGCCCATATTATATTTTAGTTCATTTTGGGGTGTATAATTGACTCTCACTCCTGTACATTTCCATTGAACTAAACAAATCAACGAGTAAGAAAAATATAGTAAATCTGCACAGGTGTTCTGCTCTAATTTATGCAAACAGCAGTGGCACCTTTGCATACTTTGCTGTCTGTGTGAGTGTTTTGCATGTGCAGCAGTAGTGTGTCCTCTGCCAGGTCCACAGCACTCGGCATACCAGCCATTCCTGCCCATAGGTCAGGGATTTTCACTTGGCTTGGACCAACAGCTGGGTCCATGCCTGCCTGCTTCCTGTCCCTGTGGCCTCCTTTGCATCGCCCCTTCTGCCACAGCAGTAATGTAATGCTACACCGTCCAACCTGCACCAAAATAACCCCTTTTGTTGGAAAAAGTGTTTGATTTCACCTGTGAGAGCTCCAAATAGATGCTGCTTCCTACAAGTTGAACTTCCATGAGTCTTTGAGGGGTGGAAAATCAAACAGCTATTAGTTCAGAAGTGAATTTGTAACTAAGAACTGTTCAAGGTTCCCAAACTCCACAAATAGAAAACTTCACTTGGGAAATTCTTCAGTGCGCACAGCAGATCTTTTCATTACAATGCAGTTGAATCAGGTTGGCCACTGCATCTCCAGTGACATTTAGTGCTGTACTGAGACATCTGTGGTACAAATCTGATTGGCCTGGTCAGGGGAATGCACATGATGGGATAAATACGCCAAGGTAAGCTTTTACTCGGGCATCTGAGCAGACAAATTGTCCTGATGTGATTTAGAAAAAGAAATACGGCATGCTAATACAGTTATATGGTGGAGTCCAGCCTCAAACATCTCTGCTGCAACTCTGGCTGACTGCCCGTGCCCAACTTGTATCGCTGTGCCACATCTCCAGGCAGCTCAGAGGGGCTTCATCGAGACAGAATGAAAAGCTAAAAAGTCATTGTCTGAGAAAACAGCGAGAGTTCACTGTGTGGTCTGTTTACTGTTTAGTCTAACACAGCACTTTGCAAGCAGCTGCTGACAGCATCTTTTTTCCACTTGATAGCTATCTGCTTTTTTTTTTCTTTTTAGGAGTGAGTGCTCTGAAAGAACATCAATAGCATCTCTATCACTGCCTATTGGCTTTTAGCACAGTGCCCAATCACTGTCACCGTCTGCTCACAACAGATAGAAATCAGAGCTGCTGACACACCCCTGACTACTAGTCTGAAGATGTGTGTGTAAGACAGAGCGGAAAGCTTTGAATGATTTCAATTCCTGTTTTATTTTCATTTCTTTTTAAAATTACCCACAACTACTGTATAAATCATATCAGAATAATGAAACAAAATGAACTTTGACTATCCGAGTCACAGTGCATACTATATTTTATAAAGCCTTACAGTACGTTACCACATGCATGTTATGTTTCAGCATTGTTGTGCATACACAGTACAGAATACAGCACAGCAGCACAGGCCACAGACCACAGACAGAACATTCAACACAGTTTCCAAAAGGTATTTCAGCTTTGTGCGTGGCACAGTTCATCACTATCATATAAGGTGTGTCATACATACAGTACTTAGCTACACTCTGGGCACAGCAAGACTGATATCTCTTAAGACACCTGCTATGCTGATGAATGCAGTGATCTACAAAACAACGTTTGGCAAAAAGGGAAAGCGTTTCACACTCATTAGCGCGGTATCACAAGCATGCGGAGACAATATAGTAACAGTCTTCATCTTTCGATTGCTTTTACAGAAGAATCACATTTGAACACCTGACTACATCGAAGTATGGCTGAGAAAAGGTCTTCCTTGGCACTGCGACTCATACAGTAGCTTATGGAAAATGTCAGCTTATATCGAACAAATTCATTTTCACCCGTGGTGGCCAACACAAAGCGGACTACATCTACACTGTTAAGTTTACTGTTGAGTTTCACTGTTGCTGTATATACTGTAAGACAGAAAGACTGGATAAAGAGGTATTAGAGTAAATACAGTAATGACCATAGAACAGACTGGAATTGAAATTCCTCCCCTATTTAGCAGCTACAGACTATTCCAGCCTTTCCTGTGCAGTGAGAAAATTAAGAACATAACAGTTTCAAGCCTTCACATACAGTATATTTCATTTCTCACTGAAGCACAGGGAAGAAACTCGATCATACCCAGAGGACTGCACGTTGTGGATACTTTAAAGCTCTTGTTTGAGTTACCTGTGTGCTTCAGCGTACAGTCACTGCCATTTAATTTACAAAGAGAGTAGTGGAGGTTGCCTGTGAAAGGTGCTGTGTGGAGCTACATTACCTGTTGGTTCCTGAGAAATATTTGGATTTATGAAACTTTGTTCAGACTGAATGTCCCTGTCAAGTACAGTACCACCACAAGCCAAGTCGGCCTCTGAAGTAGTGGCCTCCTGGTATAACAGTCTCACTGAAATATTACAAGTGCATCATATCCACCTCTATCTCCCTCCATAATCATACATATTGATCTTACCATATGCCTTGTTTTTTACTTTTACAACTTAAGTTCTTGATGTGATATTGAGACTACACAGTACAAACCTTGTCGTGGCAATAATAAGTGAAGTGATGAGTTACATGCTTGGATAGTGACAGCTGCTGTCATGGTCTCAGTAATCCCAGCCTCATGCAAATGCTGTGCACTGTCATTCCCACTGCAGTAGAATACCTGAGGACATGGCTCTGGATGTCCTACTGCCTCTCTTTCTCAACAGTAACTGGGTCAAGATTAAAACGCTTCTGGCCCGGCTACTGCTCCTCTGAAACATCTCCCACTGGCACTTAATTAAGTGTCTGCATGGCTGTCACACAACTGTTGCATCCAAAGGCTGATTCCGGTCCAATCAGGCATGGTGAGGAGGCCGGTCTTAAATCCTGCTTGTTAAGACGGAGTGCAGTTGTGCATTTCCTATGTGTGGGTGAAGGTTTTCACCTCCACTGACTGAGTATAACTCCGGGGTGCTACGTGGCATCTCAGCAGCAATACAGAGGAGTTATATATATGCGTTTTGTTTTTTTTTTCTTTCATCATAGAATGAATTGCTGCCTCTACCTTCAGAGTCTCTTGCTTGGAGCATTTTTTTTTGCATGAAAATATTCCTGTTATGTGTCAAGCAAATAACACACAGAGGATCCCGCTGCACTGTCCAGCTTTCTTCCTCAGGTGAAGTACTTGCAGTTTGTGGAGTCAATAGCACAGTATGGTGTGCACTTCAGGTGACCATATGACCTGCAAATAACAGGAGAAACAGTCTTTCGGTCAGTTTAGCATATCAACAAAACACTTCTCATGCAGCAAAAGAGTTTTTGTCAACATATACTTGTATACTGGGCTTACCCTGGAAGATATGAATTACATGTCTGGTATCCAAAGTCCTTTCCATCACACTCCTCAGCACCCTCATAACGGTATCCGTCTCCACAGTATGCGTGTTTACACTCTGTGGTAAGGGGAGACAGCAGGGGTGGAAGGGTCACATTATATGTGCACAGCAAAGTACAACTATGGAGCTACTATAGACCACCTAACGTGGGCGTATGACTTACTGACGCAGCCGTCAGTGACAACTCTGTTTCTGTCATCACACTCCTCCCCGCTGGAAATCTGCACTATCCCGTCACCACAGTAACCTTCGTCGTCAGGTGCGTTTTCCATGGACTGGAACGGCGTCAACTGGAATGGAAAGGTCTTTTACAGAGTTTAAAAACTGCTTGAGGTGTATAAAATAAGTTGAAGTAATCAGATTTGTCTGCATGCAATGATACCTGTATTGGCAGCCAGCCATCAATGTCTTTGAAATAGAGAGATCTCTGGTCTTTGCGGAATGCAAGAGCATTATCTATATGAAGGCGCTCCAGTTCTTCCTCATTGCTCACAACGAATATCTGAACAAAAGGCAAAGTGAGGAATTTTTTTCAATTTGTACTGCATTTTGAATTATAAGGTTGAGCCCTGTTGGAGAAGAATATTGAGACATTAAGCATCAAAATGTAATATCCCAGCTGGCAATATGCTGCTCAAAGCAATATCTATCTCCCTGGTAGGCGTATGTTCATCTTTCAACACTTTTTATCTTTACATAACTCACTCAAAAGTTTATCAAATGGGGTTTCTAAAAAAATCCCAAGTGAGAATCACATTTAGTTGTGTAATATCAGAGATAAAAAACCCTTAACATTTTAACTGTGATTTGAGTTGGAGTAATAAAAATACTGTGCACAACGTTGACAAGACTATTAATTACTCACCGCTGGTACTCTGGGATAGTTTCCTCTGGAAGGATAATCATCATATGGAGAACTACCGAGAGAGCTGCAGGTACACTTTCCAGGAGGACCCGGTGGACCACGTGCACCCTTAGTTCCAACCATGTATAGTCCTAAACATATACAAAGACAAAAATAATTATATAAAAAGACACAAAGCAAATCAAAGAGCAAAAAAGGCAAGCAGAAGCAACAAGTTTAGAGCCAAATAACACAATATTTCAGGCTGAGGGAGCTAATTTGAGATGTTAAACGGTTATGTGTAAAGACCACAGGCTACAGTAGCTCATATAAATACTGTATGTCATGAAATGTAGTATCTTTGATTCATCTATCAAGAAGCAAACACGATCAACTTAACTGGGAAACCTGATGAAGATAACAAATGTCACCCTAATTATCTGGTGACATAGCACTTGTTAAACTGTGGGGAGGCTCGCCATCTGTGATTCCGTTTCAGTCCTATGATGTCACGACGACAGCATCTTGTTTCACCTCAGGAGATAAGGTTTCTCTGGTGCTAAATAAGACTACCGGTGTTACCTCTTACACTGGTCTAAAGTGTGCTTCCTTTGGCTGACGGGTGTTTGCTACTCCTCTCACTGGTAGCACAGCTTTTCACACAGAGGAAGTGCAAAGGAACACACA